AAAAGTTTAAATGTTAAACAGTTTGGATCACTATCTTTACCAAGCAATTTTCTGTTAATTCTCATCATTGCTGTGTGACTTAACTTGCATACTAATGATTGTGAATTGAAATTCAGAGAGAACTGGAGGATGCATAGAACAAAATAATAGCATGAATTAGAGAAGGAAGAAAAAACTTAATCTCAGTCACAAAGTAAAATGGATTTTCAAGTTCAGTTAGTTTGTACTGTGTTGTGAGTATATTTTGGGGTGTTTTGTGGTTGTTTTTTTTTCTTTTTACAGAAATGCCTTGCCTTGTAGAATACCAGGATGGTTTATGGTATAGAGCAAAGCTCCTCTCCATTGAAGAATTTGACCCTATTAGGATCCTGGTTCAGTTTGTTGACTATGGTAGTTTTTCAGTTGTCCCAACAAGCAGGTAAATACATAAGAAAAAAATGCATGGAAAATGTCTATGTATGTATGTATACACTTATATTATCAAGTATGTACTTATAAATAAGTGTATGTATTTTTACATTTATTATTACTTATTTTTATGTAACTGTAGATATATTATTTATAATAATTCAGCATTAGATTTCAGTTGGAGAGAAGGTTGGTTGGCTGGTTAAATAATTTCTGTCTGCAGGGCATGGGGTTGTGCACCTGTTTCTTTCTCAGGTTTTCCTGAGAAGCCCATTATTACAATAGCAGATTTCTCCATCGTCTTCAGGTTACTTGACCTGTGAAGTAGGCTCAGGCTTATAATCTGCTTTTGCACCCAAGAAGCTTACACAAAATAGGGACTGAGCCCTCCAGGTGTGCAAACAAATCCTCTGATCCTGTGCAACTGCCATCTGCACAGAAGACAGCTGGGGAATAAGATAAGGGAGTATCTGAGTGGGGCACACCCTGCTCTGCTTGTGTGGAAAATGGAAGTTCAAATCCCTGTTCCGCCTGGTGCTGAGCCACTAGGAACTGCTCCTGTGCTGACACACAGATGTCAGCTAAATGTCTCAAACACCCCAGGCTTTTAGGGTCCCCTAAGTTTGCCTGAATTTTCTCTCTTGAAGCACTTTCATTTCATATATATACTGCTTAATCACATTGACTTGCTCTTGAGTTCATTGGGGAATCTACAGACCCTTGCTGAAGATGAGTCAAAATGGGGATTTGAACAGATCCCCTGCTTTGTGGACTATTGGATCATGGGAGAGAGTGTGTTTTATTTCAGGGTTGCACTTCCTGCTCTGCTTCCCTATTCCCTTGCTTCTGGGATAGAAAGACAGAAGAATGGGGAGATGATAATAGGAAACTAAGGTACCTATTTCCAGTAGTGTGGCTAGAGCATGTCCAGGTGTGAAGCACTTTGGACCACAAAGGCCTATATCATTTTCAAGACGCACCAGATTTGGAGCCTGCATTATGACGACTTGCGTTTGCATTCCTGTGCTCAAATCTGGTTTAGGCACTTGAGACTCCTCCCCAAGCACTGTAATGGGGAGCTAGTGTGCCTGGTGGGTTTGAGGGGTCTGTATGATACTGGCCTGCTTCTTGATAGTTACTGTGCTGAAGTCCTTCAGAGAGCCTAGCCCTGCATGATGAATTGTTCAGTCTGACACCAGCATGTTATTGTATGGCAGGGACTCTGATCCCAGTTTCCACACTGTAAATCTACTGCATGAAGCATTAAGCTATCCTTACATACATACTGATAGTTCAGCTTGACAGGTGGATTGTTGCAGGCAAACATTTTTCATTTTTGTTTTAGATTGCGTCACATACCTTATCATCTGCTGAAGTATCCTGTTCAGGCAGTACGAGCTCTGTTGGCTGGATTTAAACCTGCTTTATATGACAGAAATGTGAAAAGAATTCCTTATTGCCCAGAATGGAGCGTGGAAGCATTGTGGGCTATGATGGAGTGCATTGAAGGAAAACAGCTCTCTGCTTCCATACTTGTGAGAAACACTTTTTTTTTTTTCTAGTTCTTGCTCAGCCTAAAATTCTTACTAGCACTCTAATTTCTGAGTATTTGTTTTACTGTGAATCCTCATAATTTAAAATTGTGAACCATTTACCATGAAGGTAAAGAGAGAAGATCATGTGGCATTCTTCTTAACCCAGCAAACAAGAAGTTTCTGAGCATTCCTGTTACTCTAAACCCACTTTCCTTTACTTAAACATAGATACTCTTTGTGTATTTACAGTTCCATTTAGGCAGTGAGTATAGCCAGTAAAATAACTTTCACTATTGGTTAGCTTGAGATTTAAATGTTCTGTCAAAACTCTGTGAACTTCTGATTTTCAGGCTCTTTCACCAGAGGTCACTATTTCTTTGTATGAAGATGACAAAAATCTCATTCATATGAAACTGATAGAAATGGGACTTGCAGATTTGGATGAGTGAGTGACATGTAAGTCCAGTGAATATGAACTACAAATTCATACCATTGCAAAGGTATGATTTCAGAAGTTTTAAGCAAAGTCTAAACTCTGACAGTTAATGTTGACAACTAGAATTTATTTTTTAAGAAAAAATCCCTTCTGTCAATATATTTCCACTCTTAATAGAATAAAATGCTGTTAAAGTATTTGAATTTCTTTACGTACACATTACTGAAGCCCATAGTGTAGCTTTAAGAGCTAACAGGTACTGAAAAAAAGAGCCCTAAGGCAATAAAACAGAAAGAGCTTTTGCTGCTAGTTAACTGAAGAAGGTAACTTGATGTGGGGCATTGTACCCTGCCCAAACAATCAAAATTGTTTTTCTTCTTTTTCAGCATTTGATCTCAATGTTCTGTACCAGTTGTTCTCAGACAGATCCATAACATATGGATATCCACAGATCTAGTCAAACACGGAATATTTTAAATGGAAAGCTTTACAGTCTACAGAGAATACTGGAGACTTAGATTTTCTAATTTCCTGGCCAACTCTATGTTAAGTAGTCATTTTCCCTCCCATTTAACAAGCAGTCTTCTAATCAATGTTTATAGATAACATTCCCAACATTATTGAATCTTGAAATAGTGAAACTGTGTATTCACATCTCAATCTCTTGACCTTAGAGCCTTAAGTATTGTTCTGTGATACCCTTTTCTTAAGAGCAGATGGAATGAATGTATAAAGAAATAGATAAAAAGCTGATGCTGGGCACACTTGTTCCTCTATCTATCTTGTTAGAAGACTATAGTTTCATTACTGTGATGTAACTCTTGTTTATGTTTCAGGCATATTTGGTGACAGAATTCTCCAGTACCAGAGCCTGGAATCGGGTGAAGAGGTGGGGGTAGGGGAGTGGTTCTGTCTTTGTTCTGGAATACGTTTGCATTGCTGCTGTGTTTTCTGTTTTCAGTCATGATGAGATAGATGTGTTTTGGGTGCCCTTGCACCTCCTTCCTACTCCTGGAGCTGCACTGTTAATTTGAAAGTGTTGGAATAAAGAAGAGCTTGCTCAGCATGCATCTGAAAGCTTGTTTTCCTTTACTGCTATAGTATGTAAGGTTTCTTTGGATGTCCCGATTGTACTAGCTTAGTCTATCCTTTACATTTAAAGCTCAAACCCTTTGTAGATTATCAAGGAAAAAACACACACAATGAAGACTCCACAAGCTCTCCAGGCAACCTGTTCCAGTACTCAGTCACCCTCACAGTAAAACAGTGTTTCTTGGTGTTCAGAGGGAGGCTCCTGTGCTTCTGTTTGTGTCCATACTACACACATACCCTTATGTATGTCTCTTCCATCAAGAACTTGTGAAAGTACATGTACAAAACTTACCTCAGTAGTGTTGCTCAGGTATGCTGCAAGGCTAGCTTGCCTGTCTATACTACCCGTGGAAGGATCCTTTCACAGTTTACAAGACATGGGCCATATGCTGTTGCAAATACCCTATAGAGCTGTCATGTGCTGTTTTCAAAATGTGTTTCTTTCCTTATTTTCATTTAAAAAACAAACTTATTTATCAATCATCATGAAAGGGACTTAGGTAACTCAAGGCTAAGAGCTGCTGTTTAAGATTGCCAAATCACCCCACCAAGCAACTTCTAGTTGTCAGTGAGCATAGTTCCCACTACTACAAGTTGATTTACCCCTTAAGTAAAATAGGGCACAGGCATAGTAACTAACTACAGAGCTTGCTTTCACTGAGGAGAAAGGGGCAGGGGACAAAGGGAAGAAAGTATCTTCTACTGTGCAAAAGAATGAAACAAATTTTTCAGCATCCACTACAATGAAGAGTTAGAGCAGACATGCTAGCAGTACCACTTCACTTGTAGGTACTGTAGAATTTTAAAAGACAAATCAGCTTAAAAATGCCTGTTAGGTGGAAGAATTGGATGAGATGACCTTTGTTGATTTCTGGTGTTTCCTCCCACATTTCTAAGTAGCTTGGAGTGTTAACCTGTCCCAGTATCACCTGCCCTAGCTTGATGAATACAGAAGATCAGTTTACAGAACAGACTGGGGTCTGCTAATGCTGTTGCCTCCTAACTGTGAGATGAAGAAAAAAAATAAGATTATGAGGGAAGAAGAATAGCCTAAGGCTAACTGAAAAGGAATACTGCCATTTGTTTATTGTTAAGCAATAAGTAAACTGATATCCAGACTATTAAATCTGGCCTTCTGCTGTATTTCACCACAGGAGGGGGTTCCAACAGCAGAACTTTATACCTTGGACTAAAGAATCTTTTTTCTTAGATGTCTAAAATAAGGTAGTCTGCTGCTGTTCAATGAAGATTCACTGACAGCTGAGGATTTAAAAAAACAGAAAACAAAACACACCCTTTAAACTACACATCGCAGAATACTGAATCAATAAACTGCTGCTTAAAAAGTAGAAATGGGAAAAAAATAAGAAAAAGCTCTGATGTATTAATGCCCACTGAAAAATAAATTTATTTCAGGAAAGCTATAAACAGTATCTACACAATAAGCTTAAAGGGGTTTCTTTTCTTGTTTACAGGAATGTACATTATTTTTGCTGACATGCCAACACTTCCAACAGTTTTGACATTATCTACAACTTAGTGTCCATGATAATATTACCATCCTTGTCCTTTACTCTTACTCTCCCAGAGATGTATTTTGTTTCCTGCTGTCCATTCGTGTACACAGTCTTGACAGTACCATCTGGATACTCCCGTCTCTTGAACTGTGATGTGTGTAGTTCTCTTTGGCCATTATTAAACTCTATAGTTTTGCTTCCATCTCTGCAGTAAATAAATGTATTTAAGTATATTTTTTTTTAAATCATTGTAAGGACTATACATAGGCTTAAGCTTAGTCTCAGAAAAAAAAACCATTAAATATGCAAGCCTAAACAAAGGAAGAACTTAAAAAAATACAATATTTGTGAAAAGTCTGTTTTGTTAAATAGCATCCCAGCTGGTTGGTACTCAAAAACCTGTTTCTGCAAAACTGACATGATTTCTTTACCTCAGCTGCACTTTCTCTGCACTAAATCTATTGCTGCAACAGTCCAGGAAAAGTTTAAAACAATGGTTTGAGCACTATCAGTTATCAGCTGTCAATCAGACCTGCTTGCTACACCAGCTAGGTTTTCACACATTCTCTAGAATTATGCACAAATCAGAAAAATCTCTCAGGTTAGGGTATGAGAAAACACACACAGGCATTCAATCTTTATGTCTCCTCCAAGCTACAAGGAAAAAAAAAAATTTCAGCTGTAAATAAATGGTCACAGTACAATATATTCAAATGTAAACTTCTAGAAATAGATCTGTCACCATATACTGCCTCTGTCAGTGAGCCCTAACTGCTCCTTTCCCCTCAACAGGCTAGGGTACCTGAAAAGGTAAAGCTTACCGCTGAATACGAACAATAGTACCATCTGGAAAGATACTTTCTTCTTGGCCATCCGTAAATAAATTTTTAATCGTTTGATCAGGGAAGGTAATTTCTTTCTTACCATCAGGGTAATGCTTCTCTGAAATGTATTTTGAGACAATATGCTTATTACATAAATACAGGTATATATGGGCAGCAATTTTGAGGGTTCGTTGGGTTGGGTGATTTCTTTACCTATTTGTCCATTTGAAAACTGCAAGACCTCTAAGCCATCGGAGTATGTAGTATGTGTAGTCTTAGCATCAGCATAATAATAAATCTGCAGAAAACAGTTCAGATTTAACTTGTGAGAAATTTTTTATGTGTATGTATGTACACATGCACATAAATAAGTACAGAAAAATGCAGAAGATGTAGGATACATACCACTGTTTGATCAGGCATAACCTGCTTCACATCCCCATTGAAGAAGGTTATAGTTACAGTCTTCCCATCAGAACCCACTTTTTTCCATGTCCCATTGGGGAAAAATATGAGGTGACAGCCATTTTTTAAAACCTTTTCAACCTAATGAATACATTACAGAGGTCAGTATTGAGCCACCACACTCACATACTCATTCCTCTGTTCCAACAGCTGTCCTGTGGAATTTCAGAGTGCCAACCTCTCATTTTACCTTTCCATCAGGATAAGCAGTTTCTCTCTGTATCTCTTCACTGTCTGTATATGCAGGTCCAGATGGTAGGGACACATGAGCTTCATTAGAAGAGGTGTCCTGAAATGACAATAATCTAAGCATAAACTCGAATCGAGCTTTGTCTTTTTACATGTTGGGGTTTTTTTCCTAGGCTGACAGGTATTTCAGGAAATGAGCATTGGGAAGGAAGGCATAAACACAATTTGGGTTTTATGCAACTCCCAGTATAATTCAAGTGGTAAGACAGACTGAAACTCAGCAATAATTGGTTGCCTGTGGTCAGCTGTAGTCTGGACTAAAGTGGAATTCAGTGGTGTATTGTAGCATGGTGTTCAACTACCTTAAGTCATCCATATCAAGGTATGAAACGATGAAGTTCATAAAGCTTGAATGCTACTGACAGCAATTACTGTAAGAATTCATTCGACTATTTACAAGATTCTTGCACAGTTGCCCTACATGGAGCTCATAAACATCCATGTTTTTCCCCCTCTCTCAAAAGGTAGAACATTTTGCAAAATTCAAGGGAGCAGGAGATTATTATTTTATTTTCTTTTCTTGGCCAAAGAATGTTGCAACTACTAGACACAGGTAAAACCATTTTCTGGTATGACAATAAAATTGCAGCATAAGAAGGTGAGTCAACAGCTTCACCAGTCACCCTCCAGATACTCATTTAAGTACAAGAAAATATTGTTTTACTTTAGGCTTTTTCCTACCCCTTAAAAAATCAAATCAAGATACAGGACTTACTACCATAAAAGTCCTAGAAGAATCTTCTAGTGCTGTCATTGTCTCAGAGTTGCTTCTGTCACTAGCAGGTCCTGATGCAGATGTTCTAGAAAGCTTTCCTACTCAGATAGATGTAATACAGTTAATTTGGACAGTGAAATTAAAGTACAGTTTACGTGTTATATATGAGGTCAAGCTGTACAGGACACCTAGATTTCTTAAATGCAGTTAAAACTGAAAGCAGTACATTTAGGAAAAGAATCAGCACAAGCCAGCTCCCTCACGTATGTCATTGCTTCATGTGTCAGCAAGAAGCTATAACTGAAGAATCGCTGCACTTTCCTATATCTTCTCTGTAGATTTACAAAGGATTTTTTTCCCCCCTCAGTATCTAGACAATATTATTAGTTATGCCTTATAGTGAATAAAGGAAGACTAATAGAACCTTTTAACAGGAACCGATTGGCAGACTTTTCCCATGTCTCTCCTCGCATACCAGAAGGATTACCAAGTAAAACCAGCAGTGGCTTCAAATCTAGAACATACTCCTCTGACAGATAACATGATGGTTGCTTGAGCTGTCAGAGGTGTCAAAAAAGTACCCTCCACTTACTTTCTGTATGTGATTATTCATTAGGAAGGGGTATAGCTGCCAACAGCATTTGCTCCTAACTGTGAACAAGGAACACCTGCTATGGCATTGCCCATATGATTACAGATCTTGAGAACAGAAGGTTCTGAAGAGACACAGCAGTTCTGATGCTATCAACATAGTCATCATGTCTGCAGCTTGGAGAACATCAACGATGAAAGCCATTTTGGATTGCAGAACGCAACTTCTGGGATGCTCCAGACCACCAAACATGACCAGAAGCATATTTGCTCTGAGAACGGTCTCATCGCAGCTTTCTCCAGCATCTTACCCTGTGAGGTATTTGTCCATAGGCTCAAGTCCATTACAACTATTGTCTAGCTGCTTTTGAGGTGGTGATGCATTCTTTTTAATACAAACAAAAATCCACATTCATTTTCTTTTAAAGAGTAAACAGAATTCCCTGATTAGACAAACATACCTTTTGCCTGTGAATAACTTTTGCCATTTATCTTGCTGCACTTGTGTACTGGAAGAAGTGGAGATGCAGTCTGACTTTTTGGGCCTCTATTTGGCAGACACTAAAAGAACAGAAGTTATTTGTGGTTTACATGACATTTATTCATAAATGTTCATACAGCGGCTACAAGATTTATACACCATACGACATGAAATTTACTGGAAGCTTTCTTTACAAACTACACGTTTTTAAGACTTAGTCAGCAGAATGGCTTGTGTGATGTAGCCCCAGCTACACTTTGGAACTCTTCCTCTGTCTGCTGCCTCACGACTAACAACTGCAGAATGTTAATTTGGTGCAAGCAATCCAGAATAACAGTTACAGTTTCAAAACTAAATATAATGGCTTTAGGCAATGGTGAACTGCCTGGTTTGCCTGGCTTATCCTTAAGGTGCAGAGGTTCACAGGTTAGATCCCATCTACGATTTTTCTCTTACAATTGCATTATTTTGAATTTCTAAGATAAGTTTCTCAACTGAAAAGATGCTGTACATTGTGAACATCCACATTTGGAGAGAATATGACATTAACAGAATTCTGTGTCTGTCACTACTAGCGGAGTCCCAAGATAAGTAAATTAAAAGTAAACACCTAAGTTGTAGCTATTGGATTCCAAGTTTATGATCCAAAACTCAAAAGTATTCACAGATGAATTTAAAACACCAAGACTAATAACTTACAGATTCTGCTCTTTTTTGAGTCATCCCAGAACTTCCTATTTTCCTCTTGCTTCCAGCAACTTCTACTTTCTTCCAGGCTTCTAGACGAAACCTCTCCATAATTCTGACTTCCTCTTTTAGCTCCATATTCTCATTTACTAAAGCTTCTATTTGATCTTTCAGGCGTCGATGGGTGGTTGACCATTTTGCCTCTTTTCTCTTTAAATCTTCCTGTAATTCTGCAATCTGCTGTTTTAAAGCCTTAGAAAAATGCATGCTTATAAATCAAAGAGCTTTCATTTTTTAATATATTAAAAGATTTTAATGTTCTAATAGAAATACAAGCACACACAAAAAAGCACAAGAGTGGGAAAAAAATAAGATCCGCTTAATGGGGCAGAAGGTGAAAGGTAGGAGAAATTTTCTTCCCTGAAATAGGTATTATTTACTTTAGACTACCAACTTTATAAGCTCAACTTCAATCACAGAAACCGTCTTTACTGCCCTCTTGGCATCCTTTACACTTCATAGATTGGCCAGCACAAATACACTTGAGACAGAAACATGAAATCTTTAAGGCTACACTTGAGAGGACCCTTCAAAAATCTTGGCACAGGAAAATAGGGAGGACACAATCGCATACAACACATGCGAATCTGCCTAGCCAGTTTAGCAAATGTTACTTCAATCTGTTGAAGTAAGGAAAATTTATAGGGAAGGAGGAAGGAAATCCATGTGTGATGTTTCATATGACTTGTCTGTACATCTCATGACACCAAAGGAACAAACAGATCTTGTTTCTTATATCTGATACCTAAAGACCTACAAGTAATAACAAAATGTAACTTCAAAAATTGTAGATTACTACATATACTGTACAACAGTTATAGACAGAATAAAACTCAAGTACAGTTTTAGTTTGCATTTTGATCCACTACCATTAATAAAAATATTACTTAATATTAACTACAGTAGTTTTTTTATCAAAGTTGAAGATCATTCTACCAGTCATGAGCAGTTTTTAGTATGGAAATGTGACAAAAAGATTTGCTTATCAAGGTTTTTTTTGCCTTAAAACTATCAAACATTGTGAAGACTGTAGTTCCTTCTTCATTTAGGCCACGTGTACTAACAGTTCCCATGTTGAAATCACTTGCAACTTTTCAATTAATTTAGAATTTAGTTCTCAACTGCCTTTAAATGTATTTATGTGTTCCTGTGTGGACTAGAAGAATAATATATTTTTATACCTGAATTTCATCACGTTCTTTTTTATCTGGAATTGCTCTAGCTTCTGTGGTGTATTTTTCAAAAACTTTACGCTCCTTTTGCAGTTTTTTCATTTCCTTTTTTTTATATTCTTCTATTTCGGCCAGTTCTTGGGCTTTCTGCTGTTGAAAGTCTGCAATTTCTTTCCTATAATTATTGAACAAAATTGTTGTTTTAGTCCAAAACGACTTCAAATCTGGATTTTAAGGAAGAAAATGAAGACTGAATTTTGAGGTCATTGATTCCAATTCAGCATCTATTAACCCCAGGAAGACTTGCCTAAAATGCTATTACTTATTTAAGGAGTAAGAGTTGTCACACAGTGTTTGAAGTCCAACAATTTCTGGTTTTATATCTTCTAGTCACAAAAGTTATCCTGAATTTAAGTAGGCTTTGGCTAAAATCTTCCAATATTCTTCAAAGCAGTAGAACACCATTCCCCCAAAAGTACTGGGGAGAAGAATCTAACAGCAGGAGTTCACAAATTAAACATTAGCCAACAACACAATGCTGTTTCCAAACAAAAGTGACTTTGATACAAATAGGTGTGCCACATTTAAGTCACAAGAGATAATTATTCTGCTCTACGTGTCACTTATAAGTGCCCTAGTTCAAATGAAAATATTCTCAGTTTGTACACACAAACATCCAATCCAAAGGAAGAGCATCAATCATGATGTTAGCATGAAGATCAGTTTTGCAAGAACAGTTTAGGACTGTGTTATTATTCAGAACAAAAGTATACAAATTCTCCCAAGTATAACCTTTAAGGATATCATATTAAACTAGCAGAGGTTCTTAATATTATAACTGGTGAGTAATAATTACAGTTTGATATATACATAGAGCAACAACCAGTTTCTTGACCTATGTCTCCACTGTAACTGAAACACAGCAGTTATTTACATGTGCTTTTGGTAACTGGACACTATGATAGTCTGGAACATACTATGTAAGTGAATGCACCAAAATGTTTCAATAAAAAATTACCTGATATTTGCCAAGGCATGCTCTCTTTCTTCACGGAGTTTAGTTATAGTTGTGTTTTCAGCTCTGAATCTCTCTATTTCAGTTTCCAATTCAGTAAGTCTCTCTCTCAGTACCTGGGATGGAATAGTGTTTCCTGTCAAAGAACAGCCAGATGGAAGTTATCTAAGCTGCATCCATATGACTGAAGTAAACAATTATCACACACCAGTTAAAAAAAAATTTAAAAAAATCAAGTGATACTATTATAGAGACAGTAGTAGTATTGCAAAAAATTTCTACTATTCAAATAACAGAGAAGTGACATTTTAAAGCACTCTGCACTATTTACTCAAGTACCTCAGATATTGAGTATATCTATCATCTTCGTAGAACTAAATGTATATTAGGAACTGGAATGTGAAGGGCTTCACGTCAAGCTAGAGAAATTAAATGAAGGTATAAGGGCCAAGCATCAAACAGAAGTGTTTATGGTTGTAAGTTTTTCCAAGTTTTATTCACAAAGTCTGCTCACACCCATCACTGATGTGAAATCTATTGCAGGGGCTGATAATAGGATTTGTGGGCTTTTTTGCCATCCCAGTTTCCTGTTCAGTCACTGCTTAACACTCCCAGGGTTTTAATAGTCTGCTTCTGAGTATGCAACCGAAGAGCCTAAATACTGATGTTGCAGTGTAGGTAGTTGCCTCATTCACCCTTAAATGCTCTGAGATTCAGTTAAAAAAAAAAAAAAAAGGGGGGGGGCAACAAACCCACAATTCTACCCCTCTTCCTGCAAACAACATCTAGCAGGCATCTTTAGACAACCCTACAAAAATCAACTTTCCACAAACCAATAAGTGGAACTAGCAGCTTTTATATGAACCTCTTATAAAAACCTAAACAAAATCCTAAACATTCATTGGAGCAGAGTTTGAAACCAAAATCTCACCACCTTACAGAGAAGAGCTTTAAATGCTAGGCTATGCCACCATGTTTTCACTGAATAAGCGCATTTTTAATGATGTCACACAAATGCAACAGCTTCAACAGGAGCTTATAGAGGCTTCCCCAGACTATAACCATATGCTTGAAATCAACTTGGGCAAAGTAGAAAAATGAATCCATTGTTTCCCATATTCCACATGAATTCTCTAGATACTATATTACTGTGAGAAAATATGGACAGGGCTGATGCCTCCTTATATTTTATGAGGAACAAGCTAACCTAACAGCACATAGCATTACCCTGCTGGGGTGTAAATGCACATTGTAGTGGAAAGGGAGGTAGCACTTCATTTTCGGCGTGCCTTTGATACTCTCTTTGATTTGGAAACAGTGATCAAGCAGCTCCAGGTCAAGTTAGTTCAATGAGCTGGTCTGACAGAAAACTAGCCTCCAGGAAAAAATATTACAAAAAAATAAATTAAGTTTTCACTGATCCTACTCATTCTGCAACCTGCATAATTGTTAGATCTGACATTAGACATACAACCATGAGAGGAGATGAAAGGTGAGAATAGGGCCATTCCCTGCAGCAGAAGTCTGTGCTTACACCCTTTGGTGTAATGTCAGGTTGCAGCTTAAGTGTTAGAAGGAAAGACTTGTAATGTATGCCGTCTCCAACTTTTCCTACCAGTTGCTGTTTTCTCACCTCCTGGCTCCTGTTCCTCATTTGATTTGATTTCATGCTCTGAATGGCAGCCTGCCTTCTGTTTCGGTTTCAGTGAAGGAAACAGTTTCATCATCAGGTTTGATACAGGTCTATTTGAATCACCGTCCACTGCAGACTCTTTGGACATTTCATCTCCCCTCTTTGAGGCAATTTTTCTCTTTATTGCTTTATCTGGGACAGTTGTAACATTCTTACTGGAAAAGTCCATCTGTAAAGGTATTTTAGCATATTTTTCAGGTAAATCACTGTTAACATAATTTTCATCAAGATCGCTCCATGTTCTTTCATCATCAAACTCAAACTTACTCCTACTTATACAAGACATGCTGCTGTGATGGTCTGAGGGTTTTCTAATCTTTTGTTTTGACAGTATACTGCAACCTTTGTCTGAGAAGCCAAGGTCAGCATCTCCATTTTTGCCTTCTTTGCTGTTGTCTGTAACAGAACTTCCATAATCAAAAAATTCTGGATCACTTTCTCTATGGCTCATAAAGGATGTCTTAGCATCTTCATTTTCATGCTTTAATGTAGTCTCAAATTCACTCTCAGAACCTGTAGTAGTATCACCATTGCCCTCACCCTTAACTTCATTTACAATCCATTGATTACTTTTTAAAGCAGGAGCTGCTGTCATGGAAGAAGCTGAAAATACTACGCTGTCTGTTTTATTCAATGGATCCTTCATTCTAAAAGATGTCCCTGAATTTGAGACTGTATGCATAACTGCTCTATCATTTATATTGCCCTGTGTCATACAGTCTGCCTTTTTATTTTTCTTATTTATAAGTTCAACAGCCAGCACCTTTACTTGCTGCTGTTTTGCCTTGATAGGGGTAGAAGACATTCTACGGCCTTTTAAAATTTGCTGATCTTGATCTAAGATCCTTTGCACAAATGAGGAATTACTTGAGAAAGATATTTCATCTGCAGCTTGTTCTAGAAACAAAAATTCATCTAATTCTAGATTCTCTTTTTCTTTTTCTTTTTCCCAGTTTTCCAGCTTATTCTGAAATGAAACTTCAAAAGACAGTTCTGAATCTTTTACAGGGTGACCTACAGCACATTTAGAATTAGAAAAGGCTCTGGCCAGCTCATGAGACAACTGAGGATTTTCTGTGCCAGGTAATTTGTTTCCAATTTTGACAGTGTTAGACTTAGCAAATTCTACTATGTTCTCTTTATTTTCTATTTTGTTGCTAATTTCTAATGGGAAAGAATCTCTCATCTGTCCATCATGATTTTTTCCTGGTTCAATTCTTGTTTCTAATGGCAAGATATTTTTTCCATTGTGATTCCCAAGTACCAGGGTCTTCTGAATAAGACAATGTTTTGGTTTATCAGGGTGCTTATATTTTTTGCATGGTGCAAAAGTGTTCTCAGAAACGAGTTCATTGCCAGGAGGCACAGTTTTCTTCTGTATTTGTGATCTGTCCACTTTAATAACATTTCTGTCATCTGAAGCCCTTTGTTGAAGTTTTAGGGCATTTTCTCCAAGTTTTGTCATTTTAGATTTGGCATTAGTGAATCTTGTTAAGCCCTCTCCTCTTTTCAGGAAGGGTCGTTTGATCACGGGTTTTTGAATGGCCGATCCGTTTGTCGCCTGAAAAGGGGTAAGGAAAAGTAAAACACAAAAGGTTAAAGAGCATCTTACACAGTTTGAAGATTTCTTCAAATAAACCCCACATACAAGTAGGAATTTATATAGTACATTTCTACTGGATTTCTAAAGACATCTTAAGTGAAATATTTGGGGATTTTTTTTTTTATTTTTAAGAATGTGAATATTGCATTCACTGTTAGCTTTTGATGCTAGAATCTTACTTGTACATTTTTAAAGCACCTATCGCATCTTGGCACAATATATAAAGAACAACAAAGTTAAAAAATAAATAAATAACCTGTAACTTCTGGGTTTGCTCCAGACGCTGCTTTTCTAGTTGTATCTGTTCTTCCAGGAATTCTTCAAATGTCTGTTTCTTCTCCTGAATTGCAGCTTTAATAGGTCTAGTGTAATTTAAAAAAAAAAAAAAAATTTAAAAAATTCAAGTCTTACATTTCTATATAAAATAACTGTGTTTAATGTCACTGCTATTCAAAGACCTAAGGTGTAGTTACATAAAATAGGACACATTATGAGGTACTTTAGTCATTAAGCGTCAAAGTTAATCTGAGAAATGCATTGTAACACTAGCTGTTTATCTTTTGAGAAATGGTTTATCAAATCCCTGCTATAGTTAATATACATATTTAAAAGATACTGTATGTAGGTTTTGCCATTTCTTCTTTCATAGGTTTTCTCAGTGACACTTTCTTCTGCCTAGATCACCAAACTTTCACTCATATTTTAGTCATACTGCCAATTTCTACAGTATCATCTTCCCACTCAGTAATGCTACTGAGATTGTGTTCCTTATCTCCCCCTTTGATACTCCTCCTCCTTCACAGGAGCACTGGGTCTGGCTAGGGTGGAGTAAGCTTTCTTCCTAGCGGTCCATATGGTGCTGTGTTTTGATTTGTGACTACAACAGTGTTGATAACACACCAATGTTTTAGCTATTACTCAACACTGCTTGCACAGCATCAAAGCTTTTCTTTGTTTTTTTCACACTGCTCCCACCCCCCAGCAAGTAGGCTAGGGGTGGGTAAGACACTGAGAGGGGACACAGCCAGAACAGCTGACCCAAATTGACCAAAGGGATATTCCATACCCTATAACATCATGTTCAACAATAAAAACTGGGGGCTTGGTCTTCCAAAAGTAGCTGTTGCTCAGAGACCAAGTAGGCATCGGTCTGCTTGCGGGAGGTAGAGGGTGACTGCCTTTGCATCACCTGGGGTTTTTTCCCCTCTTTCCTTTGCTTACTAAACTGTTTTTATCTCAACCCACAAGTTTTCTCGAGTTTGCTCCTCTGATACCCTCTCCCATTCTGCTCTGGGGGACAGAGTGAGCAAGACACTGGGTGGGTGCTTAATTGCTGGCTGGGCTCAACCCACCACAGCCTGGAATAAGTATTTCTTGGTTTTGTGATGACCTGGCAGGCAAGGCAGAGCTTTAAAACAATGCCAACCACTACTTTTATTCTATCAACTCCATAAACAAAGCTTTTACCATACATGAGAAGGCTTCTGCCACAAGCACTATTATTACTTCTTAGCCATATGTAGACATTTAAACAAACATAACTCCTGATAATAAACTAAAAAGTCACAGCCTTACACTCCTCCTTCACGTTACTACTTTCACCACGTAACAGTGGATAGGAGGTTGTAATAAATCAAATTGGAAACAGTAATTGTAGCTGCTTATATACTAAGCCATACTAAAACGTGCTTCTAAACTGCCATTACCCCAGGTTGCACACACCTCTTCAGCCAATACACATCACATCTTTCACAGTATAAGCAATTTCAAGCCAGAGCCTCTCCTACTACAGGTCTCCACAGTACCTAGCAAAATGGGATCCTTGGTTGAGAAAGCTATACAAATTGAGAATATCACTCTTTCAGTCAGGACTTAGATTTCAACCAAACTCATGTTATTTGACAAAAACTGCATAGTAATTGCCTGAATTACCTTTCCTCTGTATTAGTCCACAAATGTTTTCGTCCGCTGGAATTTTCAGAGAGATCTGCACTTTCCACACATAAAGGATCAACGTGATTATCTTCACTCTCCATTAATATTTCCATCTTTTGTTCCGGACACCACATGTTTTTTCCTATGAAATTAACAGAAATTTTTTTTCCTTCCCAACAACAAATCGGTTTTCAGCTCATACTTTAAGCAGCATTCAGGTCAGATTAAAACCAGAAGGGAGCTTCATGATAATGTAGTCTGAATTCCTACATAAAATAGCCCTAATATTTCCCCAAATTAATTCTTAGTGGAATTTGAGCTTTCTTTTTAAAGGAACATCCAATTATGCATTAAAAATTTTCCACAGACCTTAAATAACCCATTCTGATTGTTCATCTTCTTTGCTATTGTTAATTTATGGCTTCAAAATAAAATAACTAAACATATTTGGATGTCTGCTGTACTGAAGAACTCTCTTATCAAGCTTCTGTTTCCCATGTACATATATATAAGTTAAGATCAATTTATTCTTTCACATCCTCTTAAACCAAGCTGTGTGATTAAAAGCTTTAAAGCTGGTACGAAGTATGATGAAATGCAATCTCATACCTTTTCCCCAAAACCTGTACAGATTAATAAGGTTTAACTTTATTAAATTGCTAGATTCAAACCAAACCCACTATTTCAGTCATAGCAGCAGAGTATTCATGCTGGTGCCAATAGTAAAACTGAGAAGAGGAGGAAAGATAAAGAACTCCAGTGCATTGCTTCTGATGTACAAAAAATTTTTAGTCATATGGTGGGACCTTGTCAACACATCCTGATTCCTAGCTCCATTTCAGTTACTAATCCTCACGACAGAGCTGGTCTGAAGACATTCTGTGTCCCTGGATAGATTGTTATTTTCCATTTGCCACATGAAAATGTGGGTACAGTTCAACCCAAACAATTCAGCTAACCAATATCTGTCATTTGCTATTTTCCCAGTCTTTATCATATATAAGCTTTAGCAGTAATGATTTTTTTTTTTCCTAAAACAGACAAGCATTTCATACAGACAGAAGAACTTGACTTTGGTCTCATGCTGCTTCTAACAAAACTTACATGGACATCAATGGGAACACTCTGAGGCCTGTAAGCTGTCAGTAAATCAACCAACAAATCAAGTAAACCAACGCTTGTATAAAATCTTCACAAAAAGTAGTAGAAAATTATACTCAGTAACTACAAGGGCAAAAAAACCCACACACACCAAGTTATCTTTCTATAAATGACTAACCAGTAATATATGTCTTCCTCATTTTTCAAACAATTCTGCATTTTCAGAGGCACAGCCAGACCTTGTTTCTCACAGGCAGACACTCCTGAAAAACTGTTCTTCAAAGATAAGGTGCATTCTTTGTTGTTTAACTTTTGTAAAAAATTACTATCTTGTGTATGTGGAGAAACAATCAGAGCACAAGCTCTGTCTTCAAAAATATTCTGATACCCAGATGATAGCAATTGGTGTAAAGTTGTTAAGCCCACTGAATGCCCAGGTCTTAGCTTTTGACTTTCAGCCATTAGTGTATAGCCTTGAAATTAAAAGAAAAAAGTGGCTGTGTCATTGTATTTGTATTACAACACCACTGTTCCACAGGAGAAAAGAAATTGCACTGAAGGGCAACACTGATCACCCAGCCTCCATCCTTATGTTACTGATGAAGAATAAGTGATTAGGCAATCTGGATTTTGTTCTCCTAAAGCCAAGCCCAAAATTCATTTTCTGAGGTAGGCAGAGTGAAAGAAAGTGTGAGGTTGGACTGATACTGCCAACAGTAGAAAAAAACCCTGCTCAACTCTACAAGCTTTTTCCAGCCCAGCACTGTCCCCTCTCTTTGCACTTAGCAAACAAGACTGGAAAACTGATAACAGCTTACAAGTGTTTGTTTTTAAATACAGATCAGCTCCCTAGTCTAGTTCAGTTCATCACCTGAACAGATTTGTGCTGCGTGAGCACAAACAAGGAGGGACCACTTCATCTGGATGCACTGACAGCTTAAAGCAATCAAAAGTATTGTGAGAAACAGCTAATCAGAAAGGAAAGCAACTGTTTGTTTTACACTGTCTTACATTTAAAATATGTTCTTTGAAACAAGGGCTCCCATCATAGCACGTATTGATCAAGTTACAATTACAGTTGGCATTTTATAAAAACAGGGTAGTATTCCTTCTACAGTAGCACTCAACTTTCAGGTACTGAAGCAATCCAGCATTTCTCTCTGACCAATCAAGTAGTCTTAAGGTAAAGAACGCTGAATACACTTTCAGATTTTAACTGGAAAAGGAGATTAACTTCTTCAGTTTGCACAAAATACATCATATGCTTTCTTTCTCAACTTACCAAAAACTGCTGTCTGGCCAGATACCATGCTAAGTAGCTTCTGCTGCTCTTCCATTAGCCTTTGAAGTTGCTCCATCTGTTGTTTCTTTAGCTGTTCCTGTTTCTGTTGTTGCAATTCCTTCAGCTTTTCAAACAAAAAAATAAATGTATTAGAGGCTAGGTTTACTTCAAATGTACCACAGGATTAGTGTCATCAAGACAATGGGGATTTCTTGTTTTCAAGGTGTTCCATTAGGTAAGTGTAAAATGAAGGAAATTAACAATTTTTCTGTCTATGAATACACATGCTATTTCTAGTTTGCCCAATTAACAGTTCCACTAGTCTTTAATTGACCAATCTGCAAACAATAGGAATCAGAACACTCATTTTTACTGCATGGGAAAAACATTCAAATTCTGCTCTTTTAATGTTAACTTCTACTATGCTGTGTTTTTATTAAAATGTGAAATACTTCATAATAATTAAAGTTTTAGAAAAAGTGTGGGGTTGTTTTGGGTTTCCCCCGCCCCTCCAAGATCTCAGTGAACAGTACTGATACAAAGGACCAAGAGAAGGGAAAAAGAGCATCGGAAAACATCAAGACTCATGAAGCTGCCTGAAAAAAAGGAATTAAGATACTGATTAAATTCAGTAATCCAGTCTTTATTTCCTTGTGTAGCAGGAGTCCCTGGCCCTGCCTCAAGACCAGCCTTGAGGGCCATATGAAGGCAGGGCATTCTGTACCCTACCAAACCACAGCAGTGGGTGGTGGGCCTCCATGTCCATCTGTATCTCCAACACAAACATATGTGCTAGTTCCAGCTCCTCCAAAGGAAAGACAGGAGGCCTGATGAAATCCTTCCACAGATCCAACAACTGGACCATGTCTGTCATCCAACAGGTAAGAAAAAAAATCCCCTGAATTTCCCTTGTAGTCCCTTAAAATTCTAGTGAAAGCAGAAGTAAGGAACTATGCAAGTAGAAGCTGTGAACTAATGATGAAGATCTAAAGATCACCTAAGTCTCATCTCCAATCCCTTCATTTAATTTATTGAAGAAATCGTAATTCTACCTGTTCTAATAATGATATCTTCAGAAAACCAAACTGAAAAAAAATCTCATACATCCAAAACTACATTTGCCACTACAAGCATCGGATTTATTTTTTTTAATATATTAGACTGTCAGTAACTTTAAGACAGGACACTTAATAATTCCTCTTAAGATACCATTAAAGCAGCTAATATCTGTCATTTAACCACTGTTTGATACTACTGACAATACTGAAAAAGTAAATAAATATTTTCCTATCATGTAAAATACAGGCAAAAACTTTTACAGCACCAGATAAGTTGTGAAATTCTACTCTAAAGACACACATGCACTCTCTCCTTCTCTCCACTTGAGTGAAGAGACATAGACATTTGTGCTGAGGCAGCTGCTAGCAGAGTGGACAAGGAGGTGAGTTCTTAATCCTCAAGAACAAGATCTATTAAAGTGCTGCTGAACACTTCAGCTATCACAATTTATATCTAGTAATTGGGAAGAGCTACAAGCAAACGTATAGCCAATTACAGTGGATTAACTGACATGTTTGCATTGGAAAAAAAACAATTAATAACATCACAGCATGTAATTCCAGGCCTTTTTGTCCTGATGTCTTGGATACTTCATCACATTCAACACTAACATCTCTCTTCATCTGAACAGAACCAGGTATATGAGTGTACATACCTACTTTGAGAACTAACAGAAGATATTGCTATAGATACAAGAACACACAAGTTCACCATGCTGTGAATATCTGTGGTGAAGTACTACCACTGTAATGACCAGCACCCCATTTCCACAGCTTCAAGTGAAGAAACAACGGAATGTTGTAAAACTGTGTGCACCTTTCCAGGTAAAATGATTTTGAGAACAAGTACACTGCCACTGAATGCAATTTCATTTTAAACTTGAACCTGTGCCAGCTGGAAACAATGGAAGTTAGACTCTCAATAACTGCACATCATGAGGAGGACACCAACTTCTATGCATTCATAAATGTGACTTAGGACTCGCTCTTTAAGCTTGCTGTGTTCTATACATTGCAAAGAGTTTGCTTACTTCCAGGTATGACAAATCATATGCAGGAACAAAATAAATCTTAATGGATGCACATCAAGGAATTCTAGGACTTTTACCTGTTCAAGCTTTTGTAAGAGTGGATCACTGTGATTGGATTTATTCTGACCATCCACCTCACCACGGACAAAGTCTGTTTTAGACGCTTCTACGTTACATGCTGCTGCTGGAAAAGATGTTTCAGTGGCATATTGCTGAAGTGTACAAGAGCTGCCAGGCTCTTCACACAAGGAGTCATCACTTACAGAACAGCTGTCTGAAAGATGCAATGCTTCAGCAGGGAAAGCTGTGATGTTTTCAGGTCCAGATAACAAATTTTCTTTGTTGATTTTCAAACCAGTAAAACTAGGATCTAATAAGACTCCTGCATGGGAGCTATCAGACATCCAATGAGCAATGAAGTTTTGTTCACCACTTGGATCTTCAACAGTTGGCATCCTGTAAATTGTATTCCAATTTATTTGGGGATGTAACATTAACATAACAATATTATGTTACGTAGTGTCAAGACAGTAAAACTTTCAAAGTTCCAGGTATTTCGTATGGATGGTTACCTACTTTTAGCACCTAGAAATTAAGCAGATAAACAAAATAAGAAATCTACAATAACAGATGCCCAGTAAAAGAAAGTTACTCTCTTATAACCAACCTAGTGCATTTATAAAAATAAGTCACAATCTACTTTTCCCTTGGCAATAGACAAAATTTGGACAGTGAGTAACAAACACTGTCTGTGCAGGAAATCAACATCATCCAACTTTTAATCTTATTATTTGAGTGCAGTTAATATTATCTCAAATATTATAAAACTGTGTATAATAGTCTCTTCAGTAGTACAGAGAGGGATTCAGAATTTTTTTTAAGTGCCTACAACAAAAGAAGAGGATGATTTGAGGAGCTGAGAGACTTCCCACACAGGACCTTCACATTAATGCAAAGTTTCAAATATGTCCATCTAAATACAAACATTTTACTGCACATATTTCAATGCAGCACTTACTGTTTTCATGTCTGTCTTAGTTTCTCATGGAAACTCTACAACCATGCTGCCTATTAGCTTCTTCCTCCCAACCAGCTTCTTTTTTTAAATCCTTCCCCCCAAAAAGTTTGGAGACTGCAAAAGCTTTAGTGATAACCAAATTCCTACAATACTCATAAAACATGAGTGAATTCAGGTACATAGGAGACCCAAAGTGATTTCCTCGCTTCGGAAGAAAAAGAGACAGAACTACTGCCCATGACGATGTGGCAGCAAGAGCCTGACCTGCTACCTCAAACTCTTCCCCGGGCAATTAACTCTCAGCCCGTGCCTATGGTGTGTCACAGGGAACAGAGAGGAAAGACGGAGCCAGGGGACAACGGACAGACAACCACAGCAGCCCCGGCTCAACAGTCCTGCTGACCAGGAAATAACTTCTTAAAGCTTCCTCATTTCCTCGAGATCAGTTCAGGCCAGCTCTCGCTTAATTTTCTTGCTGTAAAAGGGCTTATGCTTTCAACCAAAGTTTGAAACTGTGACTAGGAGAAACAGCGAAATTCCCTTAGAAAGATATTTTTCAACTGCCTTCTGTTTTGAGACACCGCTGGAAGTTTCCCAGGGAGGTACAGATTCCTGCACAAGCAAATTCAAGCCTACAGAGTTCAGACGCTATTTTTCCCATCACCTTTTAGAGACCCTTTCGAGGCAGCCTGCCAGTTTAAAGCTTCCCCTAATTTTTACGAGCAGCGGCACTTTCATGCCGACCAAAAGAGCTGGCAGTGCTGAAGCTGACCCGTCCCGGGAAGGCGAGGAGGGACGAAGGGATCCCCCCCAAACGTCGCCGGTGGGGAGACAAGCACAGCCACGTTCCTCAGCCGAACCGAGGGGCCAGGCCCGGCGCCTTTCTTCCGACACGGACACGGACACCGCCCCAGCCCGCGGCACCGCAGCTCCCTCACAGAGGGCTCACCGAGGACGCCCCGAGCTCGCCGCCAGCGCCCGCCGCTCCCCCGGCCCCGAAGCACCCGCACCGCCACAGCTCCGACCCCACAGGTACCGGGGTGGCTGCACCAGCACCGCTCCTCAGGCTGCTCCTGCAGCAACGCTCCGCTCTGTCCGCCACCCCTCTCCTATTACAAACCTGCCGCCATCGCACGGCCTCCCGGCGCCACAGGCTGGGCACCGCCCCGGCGCCGAGCATGCTGGGAGTTGTAATCCCAAGCCGCCGCCTTCCCCGCCCAGCTGCGAGGAGGCGTTTCCGCCCTCGAACTACAGCTCCCAAGAGCCTCAGCGGCGAAGAGGCCGTTGATGGGCATCAGCGGTGAAGTAGCGCGCCCGCAGCCGCCGCTGCCCCGGTTCCTGCCCGGGGCGGGAAGAGGCGGCGGGGATCCTTTCAGGCAGGCAGGCAGGCAGGCAGGCAGGCCGGCCGGCCGGCCTGCCCCTCGCTCCTGAGGGCGGCCCGCAGGCGGAGGCGGCTCCCGAGTCCTCCCCTCGTCGCCACCGGTGGCCCTTTTGGGAGACGGGGTTTCTCTTCGGCAGCGCCGCTCCTGAAGAGGCGGGAGGCCGTATCCGCGCGGTGTTCCTCAGCGGCTGCCCCGGCACGGTGTGTGAGGAGATTTCTGTCTAATGAGCTGTCCGCAAGCCTTTCGGGGCGTGGCGTTTTCTGCAGGCGTGAGGCTTTGGACTTTTAGTGCGCTTTTATTGCGGTTACTTACACCCTTTTAATTTTTAAGTAGCTGCAGTAAGGGAGGAACGGGAAGATCAATGGGCAAAAAGCATCCCCTGGCTTTCTGACATCTTGTGCTTTAGGCATGCTCTGTCTTACTGAGCGAAATTAGTATTTTCCTCTAAACTCCAGTAAGTGGCAGAGCATCACAATCCAAAAACTTGTGGTATATCGCAGGCTGTGACCTGGTTTTCTAGCTGTTGTGGGCAGGTACAAAACTGAGCTCCAGGTTGTATAAACCCAGGGCAGCCCTTTTGGTTGCCTACTATTAGTTTTCATTTCTGCTGTTACTTTCTATAGTTCCACAGAGCTCTTTCTGCTAAACTTTCAATCATATTTCCTGCACTTTGGTTTTGCCGGTTATGCATATATTGTGTACATGATTGTCCTCAAACAGGATTCTGCATTAACAGTGATAAGCTACTGTGCTGGAAAATACAAGGTTTTGTACTCGTGCTTTTTTAAAGCACAGCATCACGTTCAGTCCCTTTGACATCTTTAGTAGGAAAATACAGTAGAGGTTTGTTTTCAGTTTACCTGCACACTGAAGGCCCTACTGGACTACAGATTATTCATGGTCTATTGTTGGACGATAAAAATGTATTTTTGGCTCCCTCTCTGTGCTAAAAATATAATCCATTGCTAACAATAGTGTTGAATTTGTGGTTTGATCATGAAGTACAAGGTCATGTGCTTCTGTGAAATCCTTTTGCGGCTACTGGGGCCTTGTGGATCTCCACCAACATAAACTAAAATTGTAAGAATTAAACCAGTGATAATTGTCAGCAGTTCTACTTTGCATAACTTATATGGTGCTGCAAGAACACAGTATTCCAGTTATAAAAGTGTTTATCAGCAGTTAATTAATTCTCAACACACAGATTAAATACAATAGTTTTCTATTGTGATTTTGAATTTTGGAAATTTTGCTATTCAAATAAAGTAAAGCCAAACACTGCTAAAATTCTTGGGAAGTTTGGTTCTCTAGGGA